GTGTGAGAACCAAAGTTTTACACCTGTCCAAGGCAATGTAGATTTCTGGCTTGTTTGCAATATCCCTCGTACAATGTAACCCCACACAGGAGTGTAGCATACACAAGCCTACAAACCAAAATTATACCATGTCCCAAGTCAAGGTAGCCTCCTAGCCTATTCCTACCAACCCGTACAAAGTCCGTGTTCAAATCTCCTTTCGAGTCGGGTGGTGACTTCCCTCTACCATATCCAGGACGAGTGCCCCGCCTTGCCCCGCACCTCTGACTCCAATCCACATTGGAAGGAAGGACCCTTACCATGACATCGCGCTCACCAGTCCGAGGAGTGAGTGCTCTACAGGAATTCGCTTTTCAGGGTGACAATACCATGATTATACAACATTTTACTGCGCAATTCTTCATCGAACAGCAACAAAACCCGGTCGCTTAGCTCAGTTGGTTAGAGCGTGGTGCTAATAACGCCAAGGTCGCGAGTTCGACCCTCGTAGTGACCAATCTAAGCTGTTCTTTTTGCTTTGTGGTGAGGATACTATGTCCAAAAGAGTATTTAAGGTCTAGTAGCAAAAATCGCGAGAAGATAGCAAGTTGTTTTGTCTTTTTGCTGATGTACGATGGTAGAGGGAAGTCACTACCTGACGCAAAAGGACAATGTGAATACATTCAGTATTGGTATCGAAGTTTTCAGCTTGAAGCTGTACATTATGATCGGCCGTCATATCGCATACTTTTGGTACATAGAGAAGACATCCGCTAAATCCAAGCTACCTATGCAATCACCTGCACCTAGCCGGCAAACCGCGCTTTCGCGTGAAAGGTTGTACATGTGTACTTCCCTCCCTCCCCATCTGTCGAAATGACATTACTTTTACGCATGCTGCTGCTGAGGCTGCATTTGCTGGTGTTGTTGCATCTGCGCTTGTTGTTGTTGTTGTTGCTGCTGCTGCTGCTGCTGCTGCTGATGTTGCTGATGTTGCTGTTGCGCGGGTGCGGCTAGCGATACGGCTGCGAGGGTATCAATTGTCTGTGACAAAGGAGTGTTAGTTCTACTTGCTGCAGCTGCTGCGGCATTGGCCTGCTTCTTCTTGTTCTTCTTCTTACTCGTAGTAGGAGCATTACCCGCAGACACCTTGCTGGTCATCTCGCCACCGCCAGCATCGGTGTCAGGCCAGTCGAACGTCCAGCCTCCGCCGGCAGTGAACGGAACCTTCTTGATGAACTGCGATACATCTGCCTGTCTCCTCAATGCCTCCAAATAACCTGCTACCTCTCGGAGCACGTCCCCTTGCATTTGCTCTGGCGTAGCGCAGAACTCGGGAATCTCCAGGAGGTTGTGCGGCTGCGCACTCGCCTTCAGCGAAGAGTCGTCAATCAGCACCGTGTTGTGCTGGCCGAAGCGACTGCCGGCCTCATAATCCGGATGGAAAGACTGGATCTGACTTCGACTCCACACTAGCTTCAGGTTCTTGTATACCTGCACGTTCTGCTGATAGTTTGTCGGCGATAGTCCAAAACTGTCGCGGGCCCATTGAGCGACGAGCTTCGACCGGAGATCGTTGTCCAATGCTTGGCTGACTAGAGACTTCACGTTGTCTGGCCTCGCGCTAGACCACACCATGACCTTGAAGTTCTCGAAAAGGTAGCGCAGAAAAGGCTTCAGGTATGGGCGCTCGATCATAGTCTTGGCGTTTTTATTGGGGCGGAAGAGCACCGTGCCGTTGAGATCCAGGATAACCAGCATCTGGCCCGGTGTCTCGTTGGTGGTAGGCTCCGCAGCGGCCTGGTCCAGATACTCTTGCGTAGGCTGCGGCGCAGGGAGCATAATCTTTTCGTCACCATAGCGTCCCTTCTTTTCGCCGGCCGCTTTGGGTGCCTTCGGTGCTTTGGGAGTACTGTGAAGTTTGTTAATCCTAGAGCACTTGGCTTCAAATGAAGTAATGCGGTGGAGGGTACCATACTCTTTCTGCTTAGCTTGCCCGTTGGCAGTAAGCCCAGACTTTGACTTCTTGCCTGGAGGAGTTGGTGCCCTGTTCTGAGTATTAGCGGTGCGGCTCTTTGACTTCAGACCCTTCAACAAGGCATCGAAAGCATACTGTATGTCCTCGTTCCTTGCTCCATGCGGGAAGTTTGCCTGCTGTTGCATCATATGGTAGGGCGGGCGGTTCGGGTACATCTGGTGCTGCTGGTGAGGCATAGGCGGGGGCCCACCGTGATGCGCCTGATGTCCGTAAGGCTGCTGGCCAAATGGCGGCCCCCCAAACGGCGGCTGGCCATGAGGCGGCATGTGTGGAGGCGGGCGCCCCGAAAAGGCCTCTGGACCTAGCGGGAAAGGAGGCGGCGGCGGTGGGTGATGCGGGTGGCCGTTCTGCACCATCCAGTGGTGGTAGGCCATGGCTTGCTGGTGAATTGCGAAGTCATGGTGCTGGTTGCTGAACATGTGCGGGGGCTGCTGGGGCGGCGGCGGAGGCGGCGCAAAGTTCTGGTTGAAGAAGCCATTCGGTGGCCCGTAAGGTCCTGGTGGTGGTCCTCCCTGGAACTGAGGAGGGGGTGGTGGTGGAAGCTGGTTCTCGAAGGCGCCAAAGTTCTGCTCGCGACGGTCAAAGCCGCCCGGGCGGAAGGGCATCGCATTCGGATTCCATGACTCGTTCATGCTGGCGCTTGCGGAGGCAGAGAGCGGGCGCCCGTCGTGGGGAGTGCTGTCTCGACCTGTCTTGGTCTTGAAGTTGTCGGTGTTAGTGGAGGAAGTTGCGACTGGAGCGCAGTGGGGGATGCTGTACCGAGCTGATGCGACTGCGGCCATGGAGCACGTGCGATAGCGACAGACGCTCGGCGGGACGGGAGGGGTGAGCGGTGAGCCTGGTGAGGTGAAGACGGAGAGCACGCAGCATGAAGCCCAACGGTGGAAGGCGCACTCGAAATTTGGGCGCAGTTGCCTGTCTGTCGGCCCTGTCGGCGAATCAAACCCCCGGCAGGTGGGGTCCACAAAAATGTTGGAGACCGCGGCGAAGAAGAACGCGATAGGAACACCACACTGCGACACTGATACACCTTCAACAAGCGCATTCACGGCGACATCCTCAAATTCAGGCTTTGACGATGGTGCTCGCGAGCAAGTTGGATCGCACTCTGCGCGCAGCCGAAGACAGTTCAGACGCCGAGAGCTACTACGAGGTCACCGATCGATCTTCTTCTGCGTCTGTGATCGAGGCAGATGAAGGCGGTAACGTGATCAGTTCAGATGGCGAGGAAGATGGGGAATCAGGAGACGAAGACATGGTAAGTCTTCAAGGCTTCTACTCTGCCAGCGCATGCCGCTAACATCACCAAGTCAGACGCCTCCGACGATGACCAAGTAAAAGCGCAAATGAGCAAAGTCTCTTTTGGAGCACTAGCCAAAGCACAAGACGCCATCTCAAAACAACAACCCGCCGACCGAAAGCGAAAACGAGGCGACGACACATCAAAATCACAAGAGGATAAGCTAGAAGCATTGAGGGAGCGGTTACGGCAGATCAAGGCTGAAAAGCTTGCGAACGGTGCACAGCCCAGCAAGAAAGCCAAGACAGACAAGAAGAGCAAGAGCAAAAGTGAGAGCAAACGAGACACTCAGGAAGCCGACGAGGATGGAGACTCCGACTCCGACGCAGCTCCAAAGGCGCGCTCGAGCAAACACGCACCCGCTGTCCAGTCGAGCAAGCGTGCGGTGTCACGTAAGCGGAACGTAGTCGATGTGAAGAAGCCAGTCTTCCGTGACCCCCGGTTCGACAATGCCTCGGGGCCTCAGCCCGATGAGTTTGTGGTCAAAAAGCGTTACGATTTCCTTAACGACTACCGAAAATCTGAGATCTCTGAACTGCGTCAAACTATAAAGAAGACGAAGAACCCGGTCGAGCAGGAGCAGCTGAAGAAGAAGCTACTCTCTATGGAGTCGCAACAAAAGGCCCGTGAGAACAAGGAGAAGCTACAGGAGGTAACACGGGAGCACAAGAAGAAGGAGAAGGAGCTTGTCAAGGAGGGCAAGCAGCCATTCTTCCTGAAGAAGTGTAAGTTGTTGCATACCCTCCATTCCAGCAAGCACGTACTGACAATATATCGCAGCCGAGCAAAAGAAGATCGCATTGGTCGATCGCTTCCAGAACATGAAATCGAAGCAGCGCGAGAAGGTCATCGAACGCCGTCGCAAGAAGGTCACAGCGAAAGAACGGAAGAACATGCCCGACGAGCGCCGTACTGCTCAATAGCCTATACAGGCATACTACCAATACTTTCAACCTTCGTCGCCTGCAATCAAAGATACCCCTTCTTCAACTGTTCTACAGACTTCGCTATAGTCGCCTTCATGTTCATTCTCCTGGAAAATGCCCGTTCATCATGTGACGATTAACTGATGAGTGCACGATTCGATCATCGTAAGATGCGGCGTCAACTATCGCGTTGTCCGCAGTCAAGCACAGACAGGGGATGAAGATCTAGGGCGGCCTAGACGAGGCTTTCCCCAGATCTGCACTAGTCAGATACACCCCGAGCCTCCCACCAACCCATTCCATCGTGACGCATTGTCCATTCGATACGCCACGAAGTCCCTGCGTGTCTTTTGTAGATGTACTAGATTGTTTTGGGCTATCTGATCTAGCATTACAGCCTCTTTATCGTGAAGAGACCTATTCGAGTCAAGTTCTTATCCACAACTTGGCATTCTAGTAGGGAGCTTACACTTTCGTGGGTTTAGAACGAAAGCCATTTCGCTTCCGTGGTCGTTGAAGACTTGCAAGTGGTAGCAATGGGAGCAAAGTCGCCGTCGGAATGCCCGAATGACCTCGTCTGGCCCTGCTTCAGCTCAGCCATGTCGAGCGCCACGAGAATGGTTCCGCACGCAAACTCTTTGGAAGGTGTATATATGCTGCCGTAGCCGTATAGTTCAACATTCACTCAAGTCATCTTCTTCTCCAGTGGCAGGAACAAGCGTCCACAGTCGGCCCAGAATCGGAAATCTTTGTCAAAATGCGCAAATCCATCACCACCCTCCTTCTCTCTTTGGCAGTTGCCAGCTCAGCCCAGGAAGAGATTCCCGGACTCACTGACGTTAAAGATTCGGAGTGTCAATTCAGTTCGCCTCTTGTCGATGAGCTACGAGCGGTGCCGACAGCTACGGAATTCTGTTCGTCGCTCCTGGCCATCCCTACCGTCACCGTCACTTCGAGCGCAATAAGCACATCAACTGTCATTTCAACCACAGACACCCTTGAGACAATTACACTCACGGAATCTTTCACAAACACCGACGAAACTACAATTACCGGCACTACAACCTTGACAGCCGATGCAGTCTTAGTAACTGTTATCACGTAAGTCACTTCGCACGGGATCCGCATCTACACACTCTAACATTTCTAGGACTACCGAAGTACAGATATGCCCAGCGACGGCAACGATAGTAACAGTGACAGCCGAAGCACCCATCAAACGTGATCATATGCAGACGCTCATTTCCACCAGCACATCATGCACTAAGAGCAAGAAGTCTTCGACTACTGCGACTTCTTCATCAACATCCACGAAATGCTCGAGCACAGCGAACTACCCGGTCACGAAGCCCTCTAGTACGGTAGAGATCATCTCGTCGCAAACGCTGAGTACAGTGCAAGCATCGCATCTGGCTTACTCAAGTGCATCACAAGCGTCGTACGCGTACTCGAGTGTAATGGAGCCGGCTTACTCTTCTCTCTCTCGCATCGTGGAGTCATCCGTCGCAGCTACTTCAATCACAATGGAGATATCCTCCACAATCGCTCCCGGCTCTGTGGACTTCACTTCGACAGCATCTTCCAGCACCATAGAACCATCATCCGTCGCACCTTCCAGCACCGCAGAGCTATCTTCATCGGCACTCACCAGCACCACAAAGCCTGCTTCCATCGAACCATCATCCACACCCGAACCCGTCCTCCCAGCCCCAGCGCTCTGCCCAACCGCCCCAGAAGGTCTCCAGCAATACGAATGCGCCCAAATCACCAAAGCCTGCGAATGCATCTCCCTCACAACCCCTACCATCACTGTAGTCATCAGCAGCACCGCCACAGAAACTAGTATCTCGACTTCTACCGCCTTCACTGAGACCGTCGTCACTGTAACCACTACAGCGACCCAGGAAATCGCTGCAACGGAAACTATGACACCGACTATGACGGTTGTTGCAACGGCCACCACTACAGCAGGACCGGACTTCCAAACCGATCCTAACAACTGCGGCGCATGCGGTAATGTCTGCGCAAGTGGCGGTTGCGCCCGCGGACTTTGTACGAACCCAAGTTGTGCCCCCTCTTCCTGCTCCAACTACGTCTACTGCGGTTCAGGATGCATCTGCGGTTCCGTCGCTGGTGGCGGCGGTCTTTGCGTGCCCGGAACTACTTCCTGCAGCAGTCCCCAATGCAAGGTGAACGAGGACTGCGGGGTCAACCAGTTGTGTATCGTGAACACGTGCTGCAGAGGCGGTGGTGGTATTTGTGTCAATGCGATAACTACTTGTGCGAATGGGAATGCGCCGAGAGCGTTGTTTGTCAGGAGACCATCTGGGGAGACTATTATGGGGTGAGGGATGAACAGTTCCCGTTATATCTTCCATGTCTAAATTTCACCGTAGCTCTAGTTTAATATCAATTCCTCGTGTCAACAGTGGACTTATGTGTACAGTGGGTAGGCATTCGAAGATGATGATGGTAATGATGTTACAATTGCAAACTTTAACTACAGAAAACCCCAATCCCTAAAGGCTACTAAGACATTATTCTCTCTTTTTCGAAGTGAAAGTTACCAAGAAGAAGAAAGAAGATGGAAATGTCCCAAAACCCCAGATCCCAAACGCCGGATATATATCCCCCCCTACAGAGCAGAAATCATGCAAATTGAATCCAAATGTGAAGGTAAGTGGCGAAAGATAAGACGGCCCAGCCTACGCGCGAAGAGTACCATAGTCGGCGTTGGTCATCTCATTCGGCATCTCCTTGAGGCTGAACTTCTTAAAGTCCTTAACAAGACCATTATCCTTGCTCTTCAAGTCCTGCCCAACATCCTTGCCACTCTGCTTAGACTTAGGCTGCGGGCGTTTGCTCTCATTAGTCGGGCTCTCGACGACGGTATCCTCGGAGTCATCTGCCTCCTCCGCCCTCTCCGCACGAACATCATCATCGATCTCCTGCTCCGCCTCCTCATCCAACTTCTGCGTCTCCTGCTCCACATCGACGAGGTCCTCAGCCTCAGCCGGCTCCTCGCGCGCATCAGGCACAACCTCCTCTTCCAGACGCCAGTCCTGGATCGCTTTGATGATATCGACAGCAAGCTGTCCGTTCTTACGCAGCGCCTTGTCCCAGTGCGCAGGGATCCCCTTCTCGATAACCATCATGCGCGCCACGGCGTGGACGAGCATGTGGCGCATGGGACTGCCCTCCTCGGTGTTGGCGTAGATGTACTGCACGCGACGCAGACCGGGGTAGCTGTCGCTGTACTTGTACCATTCGCGGACGACCTGCAGGACGTCGGCGACGAGGCCTGGTATCTCGAATTTCTCGGCCATCAGGTACAGGTCGAAGCAGACGCCTAGGTCGGCTTCCTCGCGCGGGACGGGCAGCGAGGAGCTGTAGAGCCAGCCGACAAAGGTCTTGAAGGGCGCATCTTCTTCGTCCGGCAGACCGAAGGATTGCGTGCGCGACGCCGAGTTGGCTTTGGAGTAGAAGATCTTGCGGAAGAAGGGCGAGTGGTAGCAGAGTAGCTTCTCGTGTAGGATCCAGTGCGTGTTCTCGGGGCCGACGTAGATGTCGACCATGGAGCGGGAGAGGAGCCTGTGGTTGGTGTGTTAGTTCGTTGCGCAAGGGTATAGGTACTGCAGATGCGCAATTCCCATCTCATCGCGAACGCGACGATGCGCGTCGCGGCGCATTGGACGCAGGGATAACGTACTCATGGAGCTGTTTTTCCTGTACGCCAGACATGACTTCTGCGGTTCTATCTCGGTGATGTGATGAGATGATCAGCGACCGTTGACGATCGATTATCCGTGTTCCCGTCGGGTGACGATTGCGCGATGAGCCTCAAGCGAATAAAGTTTCAACGTCTGACAACGTCGAAATACCGTAGGAATTAGTAAAGTGGTAGATGGTATTAGATGCAGCGTAGATGGCAAAAGGTTAGAAGTAATGCAGGACAAAGAAGATGTGGCAGTGCCAACTTTAAGACTCAGTTCCCAAACCTGCGCGAGGTGGCCTTGTCCCAGCCCCGTATGACGTAGCTTCTTTTTCCGTCGCGACCAGTCGTCCAAAAAGAGACGGGTATGATGCACGTCTGCGCCGCCAGGCGGCACGCTTCCTTGACCCGTACCCCTGTTCTTGTTTTCTCCCGCCCGTCGCACATTTGGCATCCCCGCTTAGTTTTACCCGCTAGCCAGGCATCGACGAGATCGAGAACAACTTAATGCGCATTTTCATCCACACTGCCAATGCAGGTTTTGGACGGGCATTGGTGTTGCATGTCATTTCGCTTTTGGATGATGCGTGTCTGCGATACGCGCTGTGTTGGGAAAGGGGGGGCTGGGTGTGGTGTGCGTGTTTTAGAGGGATGGCATGCGTAGGGGTACGGGGATTAGGTAAGTGTGACGTTTGACTTGTGGAGATGCGGGCTGCCAGGCGTGTTCTGGCCAAGGTAGGCAATAGATTCGTGAACAGTAGTTCTGTCAGTTCTTTGGGACGGGCTATTTCTTGTCTTCGATGGCTTCTCAGCCAGTCACTGAAGATTTGGGGGTTTGCGCGATCCTGCGCTGCTCATCTCGTTCAGATTGCCCGTCCGCATCCAGACGAGGACGGAATGCGCTCCAATCACGAAACGATGTGCTCGACGCAGGGCAACTATGGTGCTTTTTGCTTTTGCAAAGACTTGTGATACTCCAGCCTCACCGCTGCGCCGGTCTCTGCGCACTCATGGAGTGCTTTTCCTGCACCCTGACAGGCAGTCCCCCATCAAACCCGGCATTGTAGTTACAAAAACTCACAAAACTACTCAATTAGTTTCAACTTCAAAGCACACCGTGAATGCCAACTCATCGCCTAAATCCCAACCTCTTCCTTTCTGCCTTGGCCGAGCACTGCTCGAGCCGCCCCGTCGCAGCCTGGTCGCCGATGCCTACCTATCAGCAGCCAGGAAGATGCCAGCACCCCGCATTGTGCTAATGCGGGTCGCACATGACATCGCGTGCTGTTACTCTTTCTGGAGCTTGGAGTGTTCGAAGAAGAATGTACTGACCTCGTACTCGCGATGCGCGAAAGGTAGTGTGCACCAACCCCCTCGTTGCTTCCGTACCCATGTGCACAACACCAGCCTTGTTCTTTGAAACCTCAACATGCCCAGGTAGCTCATATCGTGAAGAAAAGACAAAACAACATATTCCACTTACGGACAATCAAGCCTTGTGCCTGGCCGTCAGAGCAAAAGTGACAGGCTTGCGAGACCACACCCGCCATCCCTCAACACACCAGTGCTTCGAGCGTACCAGCCCCGTTTGTTATTACCACCTTTTATACTAGCACTTGCAGAGTATTAAGACGTGGGTCAATTAATGTGGGCTTACTAGCAGTTCAAAACAGTCACCGTCGCCCTCGTTGTCGCCTGTACATACCGAGAATCAACGTGCGACAAACTCACCCTTTGTACTAAGACTTTTGTAACTTTACGGTTTCTGGAGCTTTGTATAGTTTCCATAACTCAGATCTTGAGGTCAGAACGGGCTGGAATAGACCCGGCTGTAGTAGTATAGCTTCTATAGGGATCAAGTCCACCAGACAACAGGCCCTCCGCCGTCTTGGTACTCTATAGTCGCGTTCAACAATCTTTGACATCTCTGCGAAAGGAATTTCTAGATCTCAACCCCAAAATCGTCTAGCTTTCACAAGCCGACATCATAACCATACTTAACCTACTAATACAACACAACATGCGACATCCCCATCTCCATCCCACGCCGGCAGCACAATCCCCTCTTCCTCCTCCAGTATTTTAATCGCCGTGCAAAATTACCCTGAGCAGACATCAATGGTATCCACCTTCGAGTAGTTTGTCCGAACCCAGCTGTCGGATCCGAAGGATATCTCCGCTAGGTGGCGCAGTCACTACCTGAGGCAGTTTGTCGAGATCCGTCGATTGCTGGTGTCGGATCCGAAGCCTTTGTCCGTTGGTTGGCGCGGTCCACAAGAGGCAATCTAGTGGAAGCTGTTGATTGCTGGTGTCGGATCCGAGCCATAGGTCATGGGCCCTGTTGCTTGACGAGGTTGTGTCGGATCCGAAGGATTTGTCCATCAGGTGGCGCAGTCACCACATGAGGCAATTTGTCGAAAGCTATTGATTGCTGGTGTCGGATCCGAGCCACGGGCCATGGGCTATGGGCTCGTTGCTTAAGAAGGTTGAACAGGGTCTCGAAGTCGTTAGTGGAAAAGAGAGGAGAGAACGTGCAATATCGAGATGTCGTCGAAGAAATTTGATGGAGGTGTACATGGATCGAAGTTGATATTGCAATCTAGTATACTTACTATCTTGCAACCTCCGCTTTACGTGTTCGTACGCGCCGAACAGAGTGGACACAAGGACCTTATTCGTGTTTACAAATCTGAAATGAATGTTGGCAAGAAGGTCCAAAGCGTTGGAGCGGTAAGAAAGCTAATTGCTAGCGAATAGAGTGGTATCATACACGGCTTGAAGTGACCTCTTATGCCTCACCGAACCATGTAGTGCAGATCTAGACAACAAGGTTTCTCTTCCTCGGATATCAAGTGCATTTTAGTCTTCTCTCGTTGTTACCGTTGACTAAAGCAAATTGATGTAATGAGCAGATTCCTCTCGGTCGAAGATGAAGTGTAAGCTTGATCTATCCGCTTCACCTCATCTACTAAGGTTCCTATCCGGTCCTTGTTTTATTAGTAGTAGGTACTTGCTACATGAAGAGGCTACGCGGTGCGCTTAAAGTGTAATGTCCTGTTACAGAATTCCATGCTACCAGCTCTTAATATCGTGTATTCCACCTTGTTAGCTTTTCACACTAGACAGCGGAGTAAGGTCCGAGATTTGGGTTCATTCCCGTCCGATAGGGGAGTGAGTAGTAATCATACACTGACAAAGGGCGAAAAGTCTACGACTG